AGCTCACCCATGCAATAGTCCTGACTGCAGCTGCTGTGTTCTTCCTTGCTAGAGCAGAGTGTGATAGCCTCAGAAAGACCCCAAAGAATTACTGATTTTGAGAAAAAGTTCTTTTCTATCCTAGTCAGGAAATGAAGTCAAAAATCATTTTGAATTAAAATGGAACAAATAGTAATAATATTCACTCACAGTCTACCTCTTATCCTCAGTTATAATAAGAATCTGGGCCAGCTGGAATCCCATAGAACTCTACATGGATTAATTCCAGCAGTGATACCACATTGATTGGAAAGGATGAACAAAAGATGGGACGTTTCTGGCTTTACAAAATCCATGCACTCCACAGGAGGACAGATACACCCTACAAAAGATTTTCCAACAAACCAAAGCTTATGCACTAACTCACTGTCTACTTCCTGGAAATGCTGATCTGCCAAAGATCACAACTGCATGATTTGGATTCGAAAGCTATAAACCATATGAAAATAACTTTAAAAATATGATACTTGAAACTAAGCTAGAAGTTGAAATCATTTCATGGAACACATTTGTATATAAATGCTCTCTTTTAATTCTAAATATATGGTATTCATTTTGATTTAAAAACTTTACCCAAAGATAAAACAAGTACATAGGATAAAGCCATATTACACAAAAAAAAATTCCAACCTTTTATCCAAATTCATCCTCATAAAATTAAAAGAATATTTTTTCAGTTAACAGTTCCATTTCCTACTGCTAAAAACAAATTGAAGGAAACAAGCACATATCATATCAGAAAGAAGATGTTAACAAATGACAAATTGATTAGATTGAACAACATAAAAGTCTGGGACTTGTCCAGCTTTTGCATTAATAGAATCCCAAGAGGAATTTGAAGACAGAGTACACGGCATTTTACTATATTCCAGCAATCTATAATATATATTGGACTGATGCTTTATCTTAAGATAATATAGCCGATCAAATTTTATAACAACATGTTATGTAATAAATGTGTATTTTTATGCTTGCAGAAATTGCTAACTTTTAAAGTTCTTTGATTTTCAAGGCACTGATAATGGATATGTATGAAATCTATGATTTCTGTTAAACAAAACAACATCCTGCGGAATTTTTAAAAATAAAGAAACACCTTAGCTTAAATCACCATAGAAATCTTTTTCATCAAGTACAGAAAGACCCCAGTGATCCCTGTACACTCAAGACTTGAAGCTTATAACAGGCAGTTTCTTACAAGGATCTCCAAAGGGTCCTCACAAGTCTTCCAAGAAGATGGTCACAGCCAACCCAGTGTATATTCCTCCCATCTTTGTTTCAGATGTATTTTAGTCAAGTAAAGAGCCAGTTTTTATATTGTTTCATTTTGTTTCGTTGGTACCAGGGATCAAACTTGGGTTCTGTGCTTGCAAGACAGGCACTGATACCACTAAGCTAATTCCCAGGCCCCAGGGCCAGTTTTAAAATGGCTGAATTTCTTTTCTAACGGTGCAAAGCGAAAAGACTTATAATCTCACAATTCCATCCAGGAAAATGTCCAACCAAAGGGATGACTTGGTTAAGATAGGTAAAAACATGATTCAGAAAGAGGGAGCATTTATCACCAAGTCAAGGCAAAATAGATGCATTCATCACAATATCCCTCATTGCTTTAAGAGTCAATATCAGTCCTACCTTAAGAAGAATTTCTTGAACTTCCTCCCTCATTTTGGGGATAGTACTGGGGAAGGCAAGCACTCTACTCTGAACTACAGCCTCAGCACCCCAAATTTTGACTGTAGTACATGTCAAGGTGTTATCACAGTACCTGTGGTTGAATTTATTATCTTCTGTAGTTATTATACTTTTATTGAAATATAAGTCACAAAATATAAATTTAACCTTTTTGTGGTATACTATTCAAGGATTTTTTAGTATATACACAGTTATGTAATCACCTCTAATACCTAATTGCATATTTTGTCATCCCTCCAAAAATAAAATCTCATATCCGTTAGCCTTGCTTCTCCACTCCTCCTTCCTTCTACCCCTTGCTAACCATGAATCTACTTGCTTTTATGGGTTCACCTATTCTGGCCATTTTACATAAACAGAATCATGCAACATGTTCTCTTTGGTGTCTACCTCCTTTTGCTTACCCTAATGTTTTCAAGGATTATCCTTATTATAGTATGTTACAGAGCTTTGTGCCTTTACAATTGAATAATAGACAATTACATACCACATTTTTATCCATTCATCTGTTGATGGGTATCTGAGCTTTGACTATGGTGAATAGTGCTACTATGAATGTTTACATTTGACTACTTAAGTGGACCAATGTTTTCAATTTCCTTGAGTATATAGGAGCAGAATTGCTGGGTCATATGGTAACTTCTTTTTTAACGTTTTGAATAACTGCCAAACTGTTTTACATTTTCTGTTCCCACTAACAATGTAATTTCTTTCATTTATCTAGTCCATAAACTTCTTGAGGACAGAAACCAAGTTTTGTGCTCTACTATATACCAAGAGCCTAGCGAGCATAGTGCCTAATGCAATAGGGTTTTCTACAACTATTTGTGAATAACAAAATAAAGGCCTCTGTGATTTTTTTTTTTTTTTTTTTTTTTTTTTTTTTTTTCCTTTTTTTTTTTTTTTTTTTTTTTTTTTTTTTACTTTTTGCCTTCTGAGACCTCCTTTCATCAAAATATCTTCTTCAAATATCCTTAACTTTCATCTCTCCAGACTGTGGAGCTCTGCTGTAACATACTCCTGGATACCGACACTTCCTGAAATACATGCTATGTTTGTTGGACCAGAAGACTGTATCTAACTGGATTTCTCAACTGCATGTAACAGGTATTAATGCAAGATAATCTGATAGCAGAATCAAGTGTTTCTAAGTTGGTGTCTGTTCACCCACAATTGAATGTTCAAATATGTTTCCAAGGTTACATGAAGCAAATATAAGCATAGGACACATTTGGCCCTATGGTCCCCTTGGCTGGCCCTGCCATCAGCAACGCTACCATAAACCTGGTGGGGAAGACAGCTCAGTGGCTCCCACATGTGGCAAAAGGCAACATATGGGACCCACCCCATTACAAAGGCAACCAGAGAAGATCTGCAGATGAAAGGGTTCTCCTCCCAGCCGAGGAGGTTGGGGTGGGGATTAGCCTCCCATGACTGGCACTCAAGTAGCCCGATGACTCCCAGCTCTGGCTAGTTAAAGAGATCACTGCATAAAGGAAATATCCACTTTGATCCTTGAACACAAAATGGACATGTGACAAGACTGGAACTTACAGTATAGTTCCTTTTGCTCTTGATATGAAATAGATTATATGCCTTAAATAATCACATAGGAATGAACATAAATTCCATGTAAAACTTCACCATAATCTTTGCACTTTGGCTCCTGACTGATAGATATGAATTCATTCTCACCAAAAAACATGACTCCCTCTGATGTTTTATATATGATGCATATAACTGTACGCATACTATTTGCTTCATTTCAAGAATAAAAATTGAACAAGCACCTATGTACAATAAATCATTGGAATGTCATATAAATTATTTGTAGTGAACACAATGCCTTTTGAAGTATGCCCATCCCCTAATCCCCAGAACCTGTGACAATATAACATGACATGCCTACAGGAATTTTGCAGATGCAATGGAGATTATAAACCTAGAAACACAGAAACAATCCTGGATTGTCTAGATGAGTCCAGAATCATCAAAAGATCTCCTAAGGTGTTATCAATGGAAATGTTGGATACATTTCAAGGGTGAGAGGGTCTTAACCTTCTGTTGCTGGAGGAGCGGAGGGAATAGCATGAGACCACATGGGAGCTTATCAGAAAATTAGGATCTCAGTCCCCCAATCACAAGGAGCTAAACCTGGCCAACACTCTGAATGAGAATGGAAGCAGACTAAGCCAGAGAGTCTCCAGACAACAGCTCAGTCTGGCCAACAGCAGGATTTCAGTCCTGAGGTGTACTAAACAGAGGATTCAGCTAAGTCACACCATATATACAGAGCTATGAATAAATGTATCCGTGCTGTTTTAAGCTACTACCTTGGTGGCAACTGCTATGGCAGCAGTAGAAAACAAATATATTTCCAAGTATCAGTATGTTCAAGTCTAATCTCCTATGATTCTGAAACACAGTAATCTCTAGAACCGTCATTTTAACTTGCACACCCTCAGAACCAATTGATATCCTGCTACCAAATGTTGTTATTTATAATGAGCTCATGGGAATTTCTTGTTATAATTACTCGGTATTTTAAAGAGTTTATGTAATAATTGTACATGGAAACCCACATATTTATCATCTTCAATGTACACAACTTTCTAGATCTAAAAAGATGATTATTTGCCAGGTCTTTTCAAATTGTCTTACTGTTTGGTGCACTTCACTTCAGGAATACATCGCTTTCATTATATAGGTAATATATTTTATCAGGTTGATATTTTATATAACCTAATATTAACCACATTAAAAAGGCTAGTGGTTTAGTTGAATCAACAGTTAGATAAATGTGAGAACATAATGTCAGTTTGCAAGCCTCGAAAATACAAATTTTTTTTTTTTTTTTTTTTTTTTTGGTACTGGGTATAGAACTCAGGTTCCTGTGCTTGCGAGGCAGGTGGTGGAACCACTGAGTTAAATCCCTGGCCCTCAAAAAAACAAATTTTAAGACAAAAGTTACTCCACACTTTTAGTATGCGAATGCATAAAATGAGTAATATTGAGTTCCCTTAACAGGACTTTATTGGAATGATGATGATATTTTGCTATTTACATTTCTTAAATTAGCAGTTCAAGGCTGCATGTGGCTTTATTGCAAGCATATTATAGTTCTTCCTATTCCTGATCTGAACACATACTTCAGGACATTTCAAGTTTTACCTGCTGCCAGCAGTTGCAGTAAAGCCCAAAGTATTGTTATTTTACAGAGATTCTAGAATATGACAAAAATCTAGATTTGAAGCATGGGCACTTACTTCTTCTGAGTTCTTTTAGCCAGTCTTGTGATCTCTATAGCTGCCTTCCTTGCTTCAAAATCTTCCCTTTTCAGAATCTCTCCAGTCCCTCGGTAGCCTAGCTCCACCAACTGGCGGGCCAAGCTTTCATCCTAAGAAGAAAACAGATGCTTGGGCAAATGAGACATTTCCTCCATTGTATACCAAACAATTCATTTAAGTGACAAATTAAATGTATTACTTTAAAATGATACAAGAACTATTAGACATGAAAAACTAGCTTTCTAACAATGCATCTATCTACATCTTATTCTTCCATATACCATAGATATGAAAAAAATAACATCAGAAATAAAATAACAACTAAAATTTCGAAGGGGTTGGAGGACAAAAGTCTGTGTGTTTTTAATCACTTTATGAGAACAGCAGTAGACAATTAATAAAGTATCTTTAAAACAATAAAATTAGAGACAATAGTGTTCATAGAAGAAAGACTTTGAAAATCAATTGCACAAAGGGAGAATTGGGACAATTTCAGAAAGCTCAATGTTTTAGAATTACTTCCTTGAAGTCAATTAACTGATGACACAGAATATTATGACTTCAAATACAACTAAAGAGGAGCAGATGGACTTCCTACTTAACTAGGAAGATATTGTTTCCATATAATGTTGGTGCCAGTAAAAACAGAAAAGTAAACACCCAAGAAGATAACCACAAAAAGCTTCAAGTTGAAAAGAAAACTTGCCCACAGAATGTTGGGCCTTTCATGTTTTAGTTACTTTAAGAATTGCCTCTTACATTTTTGTCATTTACACAGCAACCTCAAAAAAGAATATTTTCCCATAATTTAAAGAGGTAAAATTTTACATTTACTAGTATAAATCATTATATAAAAATTTTATATATTAATAATTATCATCTTCAATAAAACACAAAACATGAGAACTACAATAAAAAAACATATATTTTGTTAGTATAGACCTTTAATCAGTATATCATATAGAACACATGAACTGTCAAACAATTAAGATGCCTGGTTAATAACCCACTCAGCCCACGGTGGCTATTTTAAAGTCATAACTATTCTAACAAAACCCAATAACTTAGATACTAAACACCTGCTGCTTTCCTTTGCTAAGCATAAACAGCAAAAACTGAACTCCTTGCAGCAATGTTTATACATTAGCCATTTATTATACTGCAAAGCACCAGTCCTTGAGAGGCCTAAGGCCACTGGCCTTACTTCTGACATGTTACTGGACTTCACTGCTGTATGTTAACGTGAACCACAAAACTGAGCAAATGCTTCCACCTAGTGGAACTATTCTTTAACAGAAAGTGCAATGGAGATTTAGGGTTTAACAACAGTGAGAGAAGCTTCTACATGAATTTTGTAAGATTCATTACTAAAAGTGATAGCAACGACTCAGCTCAACAATATTGTGGGACTCTTCCATAAGAGTATAAATCCCTTGGGGTTAATAAAAAGTTGCTGCACTTATTTTGTATACTGAGCAGATTCTGCATTCCAGTGTGCCTCATCTGCGATCAACATTAATCTATATTGCAACAAATGGACAAAATATATAGAGAAACAATCAGAAAGCCAACGTTGGTTGTTTCATCTGTGATTTTCATACTTGAACTAAATGTTAGAATGATTAGTCATCTCCACTAAGATAACTTCTTGCTTACATCTCTGAAAGATGTTAGTCAACAGCAAAACTGGAGAGAAAAAATGGCAGAGGCGTGAGAACCAGCAGCAGCATGGCTTCTCCAGGACAAAGTGCCCAGAGTCTGGATCTCAGCAGCCCAGAGGCACATGGGAACCATCAGGAAACTGACAGGAGAAGAAGAAGAAGGGAAAATTTTTAAAAAGGACCCATTGCTACAGAAGAAATAGCTCACTACTACAGACCAGAGACCTGGCGGTGTGGCAGAACAGCTGTGTAGCGGCCCCGCGGGGAAGCAGCAAAAGCAACTTTGCTGCTCACTGGAAACAGAGACCAGACCGTGCTGAGAGAATATTATGCGATCGGAAGCAGTAATGAGAACACGAGACACTTTCCTGAGCAGGCCCAGAATCAACAGTTGGTGAATGAGCGGAACGGCAACCCTGTGCACAGTCAGTGGCTCCACGCCATGCCATCGGGGCAGCCATTTTATTTCAAAAGGCTCGGGCTTGAACTCTGACGACAGAACGTCCCTGGGTCGCTTCGCTGCCAATGCCCCAGAGTGGAAAGAGGGAAGGGCCATCCAGTCACAGTAGACTGCTGGCAGTTGCAAAGCAGATTGGGGGAAATTCTGCTGAGAAGCAGGGACTGGGAATACTCAGACTTCACTCTGGAAGCCACCAGAAAACAGTCGCAGCCCTAGCTGCAAGGAACTGGAGGCGTCCTCCTGCTCTGCCACTGGAGGTGCGTGGTCGAGCAGCCTTGGACGGGGGTGGGACAGGGACCCCTCCCCACCCCCGTCGTCCTGCCACCGGTGGCACAATAGGCAAGCAACCGGAGCTAGTGGCAGAAGGGCGTCCCCCACACCTACGGTCAGTACGTGAGAGTAATCAGCAGTGTGGACCTGAAGAGGCCGTTCAAGGTCCAGGAGGGGTCAACTGTGCACCAATCTGGGAGCATCTTGGGCTGGCTCCATCCTTGGGCTGGCACCACAGCAGCTGAGAGAGCGGTGTGGAGACGTGGGCGAGCCACCTGAGGGGCATCTAGAAAGCTGCTGGCTGAAGAACGGCCACAAGCAGTACCCAGTACTAACCCTAATGCAGAACTGGAGGGACATTTTCAGGCTCTGTCTTGGACATGAACACAGAACCGTGGACGCCTTAGGAATTTTATTATTTTTCTTCTTTGCTTGATTCATTTTCCTTTTTCTGTCTGGTTGGGGTTTTTTTTGCTTTTATTTTTGGGTTTTTTTTTGGTTGTTTAAAGTTTTTACCTTTATTTTTGCTCTGTCCGATTGTCTTCTTCCTCTCCTTCCTCATCTCTCTTGACATTATTATATTTTTCCTGTGAGTGAACAGTGCCTCCTGTCTTTCTGGCTCACTGCAATATTCTCTTGCTTTCTCCTTCATTCTTTCTCTCCTGCCCTCTTCTCCAGTCTCCCAAAGCTTGGCTGTTTATCCTTTGCCCTCTAGCCTTGTTTTACTATATTTCTCTTCACTTATGTCTCTGTTTTATCCCCTAACCCTCTTAAATTCCCACACAGAGTAAATTACATTGCATACAGATAAATTCATTGCATACAAGTTTCTAGTTTATGTTGGATTTTGGTATATAAAGGTAGAGCTTGCTCATATAGTTAAAGGTATCAAACAAATAGTTTCCACAGTTTCTCAGTCACTATGCTGGGCTTGATGCTATTGTTATTGCTAACTGTATTACTTTAACCAGAATTTCATACCTGTTATAAACAGTGGTTATCGTTGTATGACACTGTAAGTATCTGGGGTCACAACCATAGTCTAGTACCAAAGGACTGGGTGCTGAGCTAACCTCTCACCCTTAATAAACTGGGAAGATAGGATCTTGGGTTAGACACAAAGTCCAAGAACCACTTATACCTAGAAGACATCTCTGAGGAGTAGACATTTTGTAGAGAATCCTCAAAACTAGTGATAAAGCTAACATAAGAAATCTACAAGTAACAACTCAGAAAACAAAACTAAATTAAATTAATAGAAAATTACAAGACATAGAAGCAAAATGCAACCCCAGACATCCAGTCTATCCAGGACAAGTCCAGGGGACAATGAGATAGAGGAAATCAGAAGCCACCTACTTGAAATTTCCGAAATAATAGCAGCAGAAGTAAAACAAAAAAAATAAGTGGATAAGGCTATAGGGAAAATCTTTCAGGTAAAAAAATGACAATCAAAATGAAAGACATGTTCAATGAATCTAGAATATACAATGATAACAAAAATAGAAAGGCTTAGGGAAATGATGGAATCCATGAATGCCCAATATATGAAAGAAATTGAATCAATGAAGCAGATTCAAACAGATATCAAGGAAATTTAGAAAAATCCATTGAAAACATACACAATTCCTTGAACCAAGTTAAGGACAGAATACCAGATCTAGAATATAGGATTATAGTTACTGAACATGAAAAGAAAAATTTCTTTAAAATAGCAAGGGATGGTCTGGGAGTTAGCTCAATGGTTCCAGCACCTGCCTCACAAACACAAGGACTTGAGTTTGATCCCTGGTACAAAAAAAAAAAAAAAAAAAAGAAAGGGACCATAAAAAGTCAACCCAGCAATTACAACATGATATAAAAAAGAATATAAGATGGATACGAGATAGCACACACACCATAAAAAATATGTAATGGCAAAAAACTTCCCAAACATGAAAAAAATTAGACATATACATAAGTGAGGCATATAGGAATCTCAATAGCCAAATAGCCATGACCAAAGTAAATGTACATCAAACCATATAGTAATCAAGACTCTAGAAATTCAGTACAAGAATAAAATATTAAAAGCTGTTAAAGAAAAGCAGCAAATCACATATAAAGGAAAGCCTGTCAGAATCACAGTTGATTTCTCAACACAAACCCTAAAAGCAAGAAGAGCTTGGTGCGAAGTATTTCAAACCCTAAAAGCAAACCTCCAGAAAACCCAGATTCATATGCCCCACAGCAGTATCTTTCAAACTTCATGGAGAAATAAGATACATCCATGACAAAAAATATTCTGAAGAGCATTTTTAGAAAGAGATAACAAAAATAACAATTCCAAGAACATCATCCTGCCTCTTAAGACTCCTCTTAAGGGCTGGGGATTTAGCTCAGTTGGTACTACTGCCTGCCTCGGAAGTGCAAGGTCCTGAGTTCAATCCCTGATACAAAAAAAAAAAAAATCCTCTTAAATGGAGAGTCACTAATATATGTCATTGTTTTCCCAATGAGTAAACAAAAGACTGCAGGTGATTCTAAAACATAGGAATTAACACTTTTCATAGGGAACAGTGTCTTGGTGCAATGATAGAAAAAAATATAATGGTTGGCTGTTAGTTGGCTTATCCTACAGTCATTATCAATTATGTTACTTGATTCTCCCTAGAGTTTCACTCAGTCAATACTTGCCAAGTAATTTTAAGGTTATATCCAAAAGATTTCATTTGTATGTTTTAATTTACTTCTATTTTCCAAATAATGGGAAGATACTGCTCTAACTAAAACTCCTTGATGTTTACCTCTGTAAATCATTTAGCCATGACAGGGATCCATTATTGAGGAAATTTTTTAAATAATTCTAACATCCCTTGATCCTTTATTCTAGAAAAGCAATTCCTCATGACTTTTATTTTTCCATTGGTCACAGGCAGCCACTAAAATGAAGAGGCTGTGTTCAGTCAAGTGGAAGGATTATCAAGAAGGAACCCAAAAAATCAAAGCATAATTTTCTTAAAGCCTTTCAACAATTTGTATATTTATTTAGGGGATTCATTTAATTAGACTAGATGATACTAAATCCTAGAACAAAAATCATTGTTTGGGTTAGTATATGTAAATCTAACTGCTGATATAATAAAGTTCTTTTAATATTTTGTAACTATTTAAACAGCTGATATAGACTATCTTTTTTAAGCATCTTGAACCTTCTTTCCCATCCTCCAGTTGTTCAAATAATTAGCTGGGATCAGTAATCATTTATTTCCCTTTCTTCCTAACCAAGGATCATATAAAAAGTATTGTGTTTATTATTTTCATACACTACATGTACTTACTTAGCACTCTTTATTAAATGACTGTGTAATTATTTTGGTCAGGGTGGCAAATAGTTGCCAAATTCAAGAGAAAACTAAAAAAACAGAAGCATTTAAATGTAAAGATATGGACAGAATTAATGAAAACCAAATGGAATGCTGAAGCATTCTCAGGTTGACAAGAGTGGTAGTCATTACTACCCTTGGGCGTAAAAGGAGATAGGAAAGGAAGCAGTTGTGAGAACAGGGAGTGATGCCAAACCCTGGAAAGAGTCTGGAGCTCAGGGAATGAGAAGTTGAGCAAACCTAAGGCATGCAGCCAATTTCAAACCACAGCCAGTAAGGGGGTGACAGGGAATAAATCTTCTAACCACTGTCTTCTAACCCTCTCTTCTCCTGCTGCTGTTTCCTATTCGCTGAATCCAACCCAAAGCCAAAGATGACTGAGAAATGACCTCCAAACTCAGCTCCCAGGAACAGAGGTATGGAAGCCAGAACAGATAACATGGCCATTTCATGTGAATCGTTGGTACCAGTTTTTATGGAAATGAACTGAAAGCTTTTCGCAATAGAATTATATTCTATGCAGTAAAACAGTAGCCAACATATACTTGGAAGATAGTAAATACTTGTAAAATATGGAACAAATTAAATTTAGACTGCCACTATAAGCACTGTACTAAAGTTAGGTGATGAAGATCAAGTCTAGAACTAATTCTTAAACTCCTAGCGATTAAGGGAACATCTGCCACAAAAGGCTCTTGCTGAAGATCACTGGATGAATACACAGAGGCATGGATGGACAGATGGAAGTATAGACAACTTAAAGAATATTGACTGTAACTTAATATAACCCCTTTATTTTTTCATGTGCAGAAATAAAATTTCAAATTGATTAAAAGCACAACATTGCATAGTCAAATCTCATGACTTTAGGCTCATCCAACTACAATATACTATCTCTAATTTATCTTTTAAAATTTGCTCAATACAAATAAAAGATGTATTGTCCAATATTATGACTGTGTATGTCAATAAAAGTATACTATATTCTTGAAAAATGCTAAGAAAGTACATTTTAAGTGTTTTCACCATAAAATTATGAGGTGATGCATGTGAATTAGCTCTATTTAGCCATTTTATATCGCATATATAATATGTTGCATGTACATGATACACAAAATTTTTGTCAACATTTTAAAATTTTTAATATTCTCCATTAAATCAAGGTTAATTATTGTTTTTTTTTAAATTAAAAAAAAATTTTTTTGGTTTTTTGAGACAGGGTCTCACTATGTAGTTGAGACTGACCTGGAACTCACTGTGTAGCCCAGGCTGGTCTCGAACTCACAGCGATCCTCCCTCCTGCCTCAGCCTCCAGAGTGCTGGGATTACAGGTGTGCACCACCATGCCCAGCAAGGTTAATTACTGTTAACAAAGAGAGAATGATAGAGTGTGTGGGTGGGGATCACCTCACAGCATGACCCATGACCATGAAACTTGCTTTCTGTGCTGCTGAAAGAATTCTGAGGTTCGACTAGTTTCTGTGTGATCTAAGTGGGCCATTAGCTTGCATCCATAGAAAGTACTTGAGAATATTAGAATCCAGATCTAAGAGCACCTTAAAAAACAGTTATCATTAATCAATCCAACAATGCACACTCCTCATTCTAGTATCACTGTTCAACTTGTTTCTTGTGACAGTATGAATAAGCCTGCTCAATGCCAAATTTAAAGGAAATTAGTTTGTCTTTCTTTCATTTGCATTGTCCTTTGTTTTGCAGACTTTGAAAGTTCTGACCAATGAAATACAAAGTATTAGCTAATTTATAATCTCTAATCCACATAAATGTTTTAATTTCTTACACAAGAAACTGCCTTTAAAAATTGAAATCTTTCTCAATGATGCTGGGCTTATGTTAGCCAATGTGCTGTGAAGACGATTTTATTTTATCACGATGTGTACTGTCTGCATTTCACTTGGTTTAAACATTAGAAAATTTGAACCCAAATTCTGTTTAGTTGCATTATTTTTGCCCTTGAATTTTAGCATCTTAGATACAAAATGTAAAACCGATTTTCATATAAGTCACACCTGTAAATACCGAATAGTTTCTCTGGTGTGAAAAACTATAATAGTATATAAGATCCTAAAGATATAATTGACAATGTGAAATAGGAAGAAAAGGGGCTAAAGGTGTAGGGAAAGTGGGAAGGGTAGGGGAAAGGCAGTAAGGGAAAGAAAAAATTATAAGAAAATGAAAAAATGGAAATAAAGTGTTTGTAAATGGGGAGGGGAGGAGGGGGTGAAGGGAGGGCAGGGACAAGGGGAAAAAATGAGAACCAAGACCTGTCATGTAACTGTACAGTATACCTAAAATGTACCAATAAACTCAATGAGAAAAAAAAAAAAGAACGATTTTCATGACTAAAATATCTGTACCGCCAGGGCTGTAGCTCAGTGGTAACGTTCCTGCCTGGCAAGTACAAGTTCCTGAGTTCAATTCCAAATAATAAATAAATATTATCTGTACAAAACACCTATATGCCTGCTTCTAAAGTCAAAAGCTACCTAGGAAATAACACCTATAATTAAATTTTAACATAATTACAGAAAGAAGAAAGTACTTGTCCGCGGTCACATTAACTTGCTTGTGGCAGAGCTAGATCTCAAATTAGATGTTTCTGTTCCCCTTCAAATTATTTCCAAATCTAGCACAGGAATGTGAGTTGAAGGATAAGCACTTAGTGAAAGTCCACTCTCGCCCTATTTCTGAATTTCCAAAAATTTCAATGAAGTATAAAGCAGTCGCCATGTTTCAGATTAAATGTGGGGGAGTTGGAGGCAGGATTCACGTTTGGTTTGATGCCACCTGGTGGCGGTTGGCCTCTGTGGCCTAAATAGGGAGGTAGCAACAGGGCCTCTGGTGGCAAGGTTGAGACTTCCTGGACTGGACGGGTGGGGACTTGGCTCCGAACACCGCCCCTTTCTCAGAGCCGTTAGCCTGTGAGGCTCCTGCCCAGCAACCCACTAAATCTGCACCCGTTTTCTTTCCTCGTACTTTTAGTATTAGCATCCGTTATGAATAAAAACTTGCTCACACTGAGTCAGGAACTACCTCTAAGGCGGCCCCACGAATAAGGGATTTCCTGAATAGTCCGCGTGAGGTGCAAGCCTTTGGCCCCAGTGCCCACTGTGACACCAAATGCACCAGCCCGGCGTTGGCAGTGGCCTGGAGAGATACTGTTTGCTGTTCTTTTGACACAAAGTGAAAAGGGAACAGAAACGGGTCGCTGGTCCTGAACGACTGCAGCCCTCTTACCTCCGGGACAGTAGCCTTCGAGGGGGACGAGACGGGGAGGCCAAGACGCAGAGGACCGAGACACCCAGGCGTGCGTGTGCGTGCGTGTGCGCAGAGTACGCGAGTGACGGTCCAGTTCCGCCCGGACCCTCAGCCCTCAGAGCCGGATGCCCTAGTGGCCCACCGCCAGGGGGCGACAGCCGTACGGCCACAGGCCTAGGGACTCGGGGACGGGAGGCGGTAGCCACTCTGTGCGCAGCTGCTCTTACCCCCAGGTAGTACAGGTCCACGGTGGTGATCTGCGAGTCGAGAAAATCCTCATAAGTGTTGAACTGTGTAACTATGTTGTCCACGCTGGTCCGTCCCTCATCCTGGTCCATCGCAGTTGCTGGGGCCGAAGCGTCCTTAGCTACAGCCGACTGGGGGCGGGGCTGGTCAGCCCCACCTACTCAGTTCCTTCCAATCAGCTGGGGTGGCTGTGTTGCGCTTGCTTGTTAGTCCCTCTCTTGCCCCGCCCTCACCCCCCCCCTTTAGTTTAGTAACTCGGTTTCAGGTTTGCGCTTGACGCGGGAAAACCGTCTCGATTCACCCGCGCCCAAATCAGGTCTGACGCCAGCTGCCTGATTCACACCTTGGGGAAATGTAGAGCCGGGTGGAGAGGCGAACTGCAATCCAAAGAGAAAAAGTACGATTTTGCCGGGATGTTTAGACACAGTACTATGGATAAGCACTTCCAGTCACATTCTAATTAACACTATGCTAGAGGAAAATACAGACACTTTGCAAGAAGAATATCTCAAAACAAGCCTGTTGTGACAAAAGCCAATTACAAATACACTAATGATTTTGTTCAATATTTTTAAATTACAGTTTTAAATTATCGATATCGTTTGGGTGAAAATTTTACCAAAAAGAAAATAATATCTTTAAAAACGTCTTTTGACACTGTGCTGGCTTTTTCATTTTGTTTATTCTTTACTATTTAAATGTCAATAAGCACACACAAAATCACTAACCTTGCTGAAGCTGCCTTTTTAAAAACTTTAAAATATCTGGAAAAGGTAATGATTTTTCGCTAAAAATTTTTATTTTCCTTGAAAACATTTTGTTTTTTAAAATATTGGTTTAAAGTAATCCAGCTGGCAGCTGGCAAAACATTTCAAAACCCACTTTAGGGTTTTAACATTTTTCAAATCATCCTTGAAAATTAAAATAGTGTGATGCTGTAGTGTTTGCTAAGTACTTGCTGAATTCGTTTATAAAGTTTTCATAGATGTGCTAAAAACTTTGCAATGAAGACATCTAGTAAGATATTTCACTTTAGGGCAGCCTATACAATTTTTTGAGGTCATCTCAAAAATCAGGGTGCCATGAATGTAAAAATTTTAAGTGGTACAGATATAATCACTTCTATAATATTACTTAGTTGTCTGTAATGAAAATATTCTGAAATTTTTTAAAAAGCATTTTGGACCTTATTTTTAAATGCAACTTAATCATTGAATTTGAAAGGACAGGGAGGGGAAACAATGCTTAAGACAAAGCATGTAATCATAATAGTGACAATATATGAATAGGCTCACTAACTAGTATTGGTCAAATGAATAACCATCAGCAATTTGACATTATCTAATACCGAAAAAAGATAAGGAAATTCAAAATGCCCAGGAAACAAGACGAAACCTGACTTCGACCATTCCGATTTATAAGGAACCTCGGTCTCTGTAAAATCTGTTATTTCCAGATTGCTATGAGTCCTGGAAGAGCATTATTCCAAGTAAAGCTTAGAAAAGACTCAGCCACTTATGTACAAAAAATATAAGTACTGTATTTTTGGTACAATAATATTTAATATGATATTACCATGTGCCAACCCTATATGACTTACCTCGTGTAATCATGAAAACAAACATCCTAGAAAAAATAGTGTTGAGATTATTCTCAATCTAAGAACAGAATAATTTAAATGACTTTGCCGAAGTTCCAAAGATGAAAAATACATACACAACTTATTAACAGAACAACTTATTATTCCCCATCTCACACAATAACAAAGATAAAGAGATGTTTTGAAAAGTCACATAGAACTATTTAGTTGTTTGATCATTACAAAAGAAGAGAAGTCACCTAGTAATATGAAATGTGGATTGACACAGATGCAGGAACAAAAAGGATGACAAGGATGTTCCAAGATTTGGAGGCCACGAAGACCAAGTTCTCTCTAGGACAAAGCACCAAATTGTTTTGACCATTGTGAGGAGTACCCCAAGAACAGCAGAGGGAGGAAGCTGGTAGAAAACTAGTGCAGTGCTAGGCAAGAGAGTCTCCCCAGGACAACAGGTCAGTCCTAGAACTAAGAGGACTGGACTCAAATGAGATGGCTTCAAGAGCTGTCTGTGCCCTGCTGAATGCTGATGGATCTGTATTGAGCTAATCCGTATCACACTCATTTTGCAGTCCTGCTACCTCAGGATTTCAATGTTTTCAAGAAACAGTAAAGTGTCTATGGAATGTTTAAATTCACAAAACTGAAGGGCTTTGATCACAAGGCTATCTCAAAGTTAAAACAGGGGGTCACCATTTACCTGTGCATTGTCTTATCACGGCCCAGGCCAATTGTGATTGTACATTTTCGGGGAGAACCTCATTAAATTAATCATGTGATCAACAGCTCTTTGTGAAATAATGGATAAAGCATCTAAATTTGAGCAATCATGAGTATTTTCAAGCACTGTGTATAGTTAGTGTTTTCCAACTCAAAACAGTGAGGGTGATTTTCAACAAATCAGCATCTACATTAATATTGAAAGAAAAAAATTATAATTGTAGCCTTATTCCGCACAGAAAAGCTACAATTATAGTAAGCTTAATGTTTTCCTAACACATTGGGACATACCTGTGCCTGAAAAATTACATGAACCAGTGGCAACAAAGAAATGAATAAGCATCAGCAAGTCTCTCCTTCCTACTACCAGGCCTTTGTTATAATCAGGGAATACTTTATTTTGGATAATATGCATTTCTACTTCAACTCCAGTATTTTTATATAGGATCCTGGAATTTAGCACCAATCCCAGAAATTCCATTCTTTGTCAAAAGACAAGCAAGGATTATGCATACTCACAAGAAAAACTCCATGTCTGAGACAGGAAACATATATAATATAAGAATAACAAAATACATGTTATATTGAGGTTAGTTACTGAGTGAAAACAGCATAATTTAAAAATAAAAGTCATAGGTAGAACCAAGCATAACCGTATCTGAAACAAATTGGCTTTGGTACCAATGAAATAATTTCAAGTTAAACTCTATATTTTTCTATTCCCAAGTACTTACCAGCATTCTATGATGGCTGGGAAAGTAAATAGAAAATATACTTTGGTGTGCTGACCTGAAAGGAAACAGAATACCTTGCTTATTATGATAACAAGGTGCTAAATATTCTGAGTAAGAACTTGAAGCTCTATTAGGATGAACTTAATGTATTACTATATTGCAAGAAAGAAAAACATATACTCACCCTAAATAAGATAAGAGATTTGGGTCTGATGTTGCCAACTCCTTATTAAGTGTCTGTGATTACAGATGAGGGCTATTGCTTAATCATAATTCAAGCAGAGCTCTTTTGCACTTGCCAATAATGATGGCAATGAGTTTATTTAAGCTATTTCTTGTGATGAGATCCCTGGACTTCCACAAAGTCTCAGTTATCCTAAAGTGCTAGAGTTCTTGTTCCACTACTTCTTAGTCATGGAGATATGGTGTCTTCGTGTGCCCTAAATCAGAAATTTCTCCTTCCTTGTCAATATCTGACAATGGGAGAGGAAGACTCCAGAGACAAATATAAGATGGGACCATACCCAGGAGTGGGGCTGACAGTGTCAGCAGCTGATAAAGAATGAACACTGTGAAGAGTCTAGGTGAAGGGTGTGATAGGAAGGCCAAGTCTTTGGAACAGAGGAAAATTTGGCCTCCACTGACTCTATAAACTTTTCCTAACATCCTTGCTAAGGATCCCCCTCAACCTCTGTGCTCACATGGAAATAAGGCCACATCCAAACCCCTGACTGGCCAAAAACTCTCAGGTAACATCACAAGGTGCTAGAGGCCATGACAGCTAACACTGAGTTGCCGGTTTCAGGAGCTGCTGAAGCACTTCACCATCAACTCTCATGTTTTTCTCTTATTTTCTATAATTGCCTTTTTATTTTCAAGTATCTCTTTAATTCTATATCCTCCTGTCTCAAAGTAGATAAACACTTTAACGCCTACTCCCAAAGAATTAGCCAGATTGGCTTCCCTGTAGTCAAACACAAGATTTTGCACAATGCTACTGATCTTCTTCTTTTTCTTCTTCTTTCTTCTTCTTCTTCTTCTTCTCCTCCTCCTCCTACTCCTCCTCCTCCTCCTCCTCCCCCTCCTCCTC